GCATTATAGATAAACAAATCTATTACATAAATGTACTAAAAATCTATTGAATTTACTGGAAATTCCATGTTCATACCTTGTGGTAAATGGATTCTTTGCTGAAGGAAAGACCAGAATATTCTTTCACTTCTTATTATTATGCACATGAGTATGAATCATAACATTAATTAATTCATACTTTATGATACATTTTTCTTTTCTAGCATACAAAACGATTTCCACATAAATTCCGCTATTAGATTTAATTTGATTAGGTATGTCTTTTAGTTCATTTTGACATCATTACTTTATTGTTGACAAGAAGAATTTTATTTTTCTGAACAATGCTTTTTTAAATTCCAAATTGATTAACAAATTTGACCTTGCATGTGGTGTAAAGAAATTAATTTCTTGTATATTAATTTGTCAATATGTTTTCTATAATTGTCGGAAATCTGTTGCTTATATATATTAAGGGAGATAATTCTGTGAAAAAGAAAAAAATGGCATACACGACTGTCACTGTTCTAAGCTTGGGAGGAGAGTAATTTCCAACATCAGTTTCCAGTGAAGGAACAGAATCTATCCTAGTACATTGCAATGCTTCACATCTAGAACCAAATTTACAATTTCTTACAATATTTTTTGTCTCGCAGAGTGGACGCATTACTATAGATGATGCGATGCATTATTCACGGATTCTAGGCATCATCGCAACTGCTGAGAAAGAAGCCCATGACATCGCAGAAGCCAACAGTGCATTCGCAACAAAAAAAGTCTACAATTTCGGAATCTATAAGTACTACCGCCACAGGCCATGCCAGAGGAGAATTCTACAGGTTCGTACCAACTTTATATGTTTAGGCTAAAGGGGTATTAGCAGGATTGTATTGAGGGATCAGTTTCTTGGTAGAACAAAAAAAAAAATCTGTTATTAAAATAGGTTGGATTTCTTCATTGCAAAAAAAGAAAGCAAGGACACATGTATGAATTGGGCAGTACCAGGAGACAGTCTACGGGACTGCAGTGAAATCTTTAACGAGAACATGGATTGCAGTGGGGACCAATGGCATAAACATATCCTGAAGAAAGATGGTGCACTGTAATTGAAACTTGCATTTCAGCCCTCCATCTAAAACACAAGGAGAGGAGTGGTGGAATTGAACCAGGAACTTACAGCATCTGCACAGTTCAGCACACACACACAGCATACCCAGCACACTAAAACCTCTGTGTGAATGCCATATGGATTCTAGTTAATTATACCTTTAAAAAGATTACCTGGAGACTACTTCCTTTCCTTTAATTAATAGGGTAATTAATTTATTAGGGAATATATGTATTATGACAATCATACACTGATTCATTATTAACAATTGTAAAAATTGCAGTAGTGTCTGACACTGTTGATATTTATGGCACAGTAACATATCAGTGCAGATTAATTTTACCGCAAAACTATAATAAATTAGCATTCCTATAACTCATAAATGTCAGGAGTCGTTATATGAAGTACTTGAATAAGGACAAGGGAGTTGATTGATTTTGGGTTTCCTAATCAGAGGGACATAAACTTCAATTACAAGAACCAAAGAAAAATTATTGAAAGTTTCTTAGATTTTTATTCATACCTCGTTTATTTCAAGAATCAAAACTGTGCTCATTTGGTTATTTTTCATGGACAACTGATTTCTCCACATATTTTCTCTTTCATTATTGCCTACAATTCTCCAACTAGGGGTGTGACATCCACAATGCTCGGATGAATGACTTTAAAATTAGAACCCAATGGAATAAAATCATATTAACATACCTTTGTATTAAAAACTTTGCAGACATAGACTATACAATACAGCATATTCCTACCTGACCTTTCCCTGTGATACCCTAGTGATCAAGGTTTGTCAGAACTGTAAAGCCTTCTCGTTATCGCCTTCTGACACCCGCTTCTGTATTTCCAGAACATTTATGTGGACTCCATCAATTCAAAATTTCAATTCTCTTGTCAAATTACAGCTCTTAATGAAATTTATAGTAGTTGAACTGTTAATATCCTTTATTTTCTATATCAGATTTGTTGAAAATATAATAATTTCAACTATATAATAATCATTAATAGAAGCTTTTCATTGACTTGTAATTAATTGATTGGCACATTTAGTGGTTTTAGGAGGACTAAAATAAACCAACATGGTGTAACTTATAAAAATATTAATAGAGTAAATACTAAATAAATATAAACAAAATATAAATTATAATTTACATGATTAAACTGTAGTAGAAGCAATTATGTGTGAGCTCATAAAGTGAAGAATCCTATCCTGGTATTTCATGATTATTTTTTAAGAATAATGTAGAGATACACAAGAAAAAAATTCCTATTGCTGACTTTGGGTTTCATGGGAACATGTTGCATATTAATAAAATAAAGTAATAATTAATTTAATATGCCACATTTAATCACGTTTTGAATTTGATATGATCATTGGCCTTGGATATTCTATACTTTCTGCTAAAAAAAAAACATTTTAGAAATATCTTCAACTGCGGCATGGTTCCTTTTACCCTTCAGGATCACATGCTGCTTGGCACGGCTCGTAATGTCTTACCTTGTAATGATTTAATTTACAAATAATTAATGATCTCGGAGATGAATTTTCAAAAAGTAAAAAAAAAAAAAAAATCAATTAATTACATCAGAGGGGAATGAATCAACCTTGAGGTATTAGCTCAGTTGGAAAGGAGGCTTAAAGTGTAAAAATTGTATAAGATAGAGATTGAAAACCTACCACTGATGACAGGGACCAGGCTGGTTTCGTCCTGGTGGGATGGGGGAGGGTGGGTGACACAGATATTGAGAATGCGGAAATAAATCCCTAAATCCCTATTCCAATGAAAGCTTTAATGGTCATTTTCAGTATTTAACTCACGTAGTGGAACTAAGTGGAAAGACTACGTCTCCCTCCCCTATCCCAATGATACAAGTTCATATGAGTAGGTTTCATCGAATTACTGTATTCTTTACAGTCAAAAGCTTTATTTTATCTCAGGTACACTTGTAGTGTAAAATAATGTGACTGTAAAGCTACTTTGACACGATAAACGACACGACAACGACAATAAAAATGCGCTCAGTGTTGAAGAATATAAATGACAGGATGATATGTCATTGTCGTGTAGTTATCGTGTCTAGTGTTAACTGAAGCTGAAGCCTACAGAAAACTCACAACTCTCCTCCAGTGGACCTAACCACTAAACTCCATCTTTTTGAAATTAAACAGCATCAATGTATATGACCTTGCAAGTTTATGGGAAATGTGCATATACCTGGCTATTAGTATTATATAGCTGGGGCTGATTTTTTTTTTTTTTTTTTTTTTTGGTTGGGGGTAGGGACCCTTTTTGGATAGTCAAAAAAGAAAAAAGAAAGAAAAAGAAATAATTGATCTCCCACAACTCCTCAGAGGCTATTTTCGGGCATCTAAAAAACAGATATTTCACGAACCCCCTAGCTGGTAGTATGGTACCGATCGACCCCACTTTCGGTCCCCCTTTCGGACATCTCTTGATCCACCCCTACATAGCATGTTTTAATTTGTCAGTTTTTAAATTTGAGTGACAATTCGAAAAGGTTTACATGTGCATGTTCAAGTGACACTTTAAATTTATATTACATAAAATTATGTATTACCCTTACAATTTTGTTTTAAAAGCCACTCACTAATGAGTAAAGCTTTATCGTAAGCATTCCCGAATAGCAAGGTGGCTACTGGTAACAATCTATCCCATCATGCATCATCATTTGCAATTTTTATGTTTTGTTTAAGATAGTGTGAACACAAGTTTGCTATTGAGTTGCCCAATTCCTTTTGGGACAATTTATTTTTTTACATGAATGTACTGTAAATTGAAATCTAATGATTTCCCATTAAATTTAGTCTAGTCATGAATCTGTTGAGATACATGAACTCCCAAACATACGCACCAACTATCCTGTCCCTCAGTGTCATCAAGGTAGTTTAAAAAATGGTTTGTTTAAATTTAATATTAGGTACTATATATTCGAACCAGGTTGAGAAATCCGAGCGATTTGTAAGTTGCGTTGTTCCCGAAGGTAGCTTGGTGTCAAAACGCATTCTCGAAATCTTAGAATTCAACAGGTGCTGTGATTCAATCAAGATAAAAAAACTTTATTATTGATAAGCACTCGACTAAGTCTTTCCTGTTATTGTAAGAACTTAATGAAAACAATACTTACAGAATGCGAAAACGGTGGTATGTAGGTCTGTATACTAGATGGCGAATTTTGTCATGTTATATCTAGAAGCTTAGCCATTTACATATTTAGAACCATCAGAATCCAGATGAATTTGCGTGTATGTTATGAATTTTATGAATATATTGTTAATTAAAATTATTCTTTATGAACTTATGTATTGAACCTATGAACTTATTATCAAACTTATTCTTAATATCAAATAATATAATTTATTGAATTTATTACATATGAACTTTGGTATTGAACTTATTTTTTAAGAACTGATTATTTAACTTCTTTATGAACTTATTATTTATTGAACGTATTCTTTTATAACATTGTTTTATGTAACTTTTTCTTTATAAACAATAAATTATATATGAATCCGTAATTGAATTTATTCTTCATAATCAATTTTTGTTTGAAAATACATGACTGTATATGTATTTGTTTATTTTTAGTGTAATATTGATAAAACAGTTCTACAGTTATGTTATTTAACTTATTACTTTATGAACTTGCTATTTATTAAACATGCTTATTATTATTTCTCTTTTTCTTTTCAGATTGATTTTCAAGCTTGCTTCATATGCAATATTCAGAAGGGAAATTTGAATCGCAAATTCAACTTTAGCGAAGTTCTTGATTATGAGAGTGAGGTAAGAGCACAAATGCTTATGTTGGTGAAAACACTGATAACAATAATGATAATATACATCCAGGATTTCTTAAATATATTACACATTCTCTGTCAAAAAGCTATGTAAAAAGACTGTAATGTCTATGGACCAGATGACAACATATAATAAAAAAAAAATAGAGAGTGGGCTCGCTTACCCTCTAGTGTATTAACGTCAAATAATTTTGATTAAAAATAAAAAAGCAGTTTCTTATTTCTGATAACAGGATATTTAGAAAACACTAAAATGAATGAAACAGCAGTAGTGTTAAAGGTGGGGTGCGGGGATGAGACAAGTGGCCATATATTGCTTATTTAACCTTTCCTGAGTTCGGGAAAAATACTTAAAAAATTCAAATTGTTGAGATGTAACGATAATTAGAGAAACAAAACATGATGTGATGCCTATGAACTTATTATCAAACTTATTCTTAATATCAAATAATATAATTTATTGAATTTATTACATATGAACTTTGGTATTGAACTTATTTTTTAAGAACTGATTATTTAACTTCTTTATGAACTTATTATTTATTGAACGTATTCTTTTATAACATTGTTTTATGTAACTTTTTCTTTATAAACAATAAATTATATATGAATCCGTAATTGAATTTATTCTTCATAATCAATTTTTGTTTGAAAATACATGACTGTATATGTATTTGTTTATTTTTAGTGTAATATTGATAAAACAGTTCTACAGTTATGTTATTTAACTTATTACTTTATGAACTTGCTATTTATTAAACATGCTTATTATTATTTCTCTTTTTCTTTTCAGATTGATTTTCAAGCTTGCTTCATATGCAATATTCAGAAGGGAAATTTGAATCGCAAATTCAACTTTAGCGAAGTTCTTGATTATGAGAGTGAGGTAAGAGCACAAATGCTTATGTTGGTGAAAACACTGATAACAATAATGATAATATACATCCAGGATTTCTTAAATATATTACACATTCTCTGTCAAAAAGCTATGTAAAAAGACTGTAATGTCTATGGACCAGATGACAACATATAATAAAAAAAAAATAGAGAGTGGGCTCGCTTACCCTCTAGTGTATTAACGTCAAATAATTTTGATTAAAAATAAAAAAGCAGTTTCTTATTTCTGATAACAGGATATTTAGAAAACACTAAAATGAATGAAACAGCAGTAGTGTTAATTGGTATAAGTGAACATCTTGTATTCTTTGAATGTTGCTCTTTTGGTGTTCCATATAAAACCACTCATAGAATGCGGAAATAGACCATTTTGCTCTAGTAACATGTGACAGTAAACCGCAGAATTAACCTTGAATGTTGCTCTTTTGGCATTCCATCGAATGTGGAAATACACCAATTTGCTCCAGTAAATTCATCCGTAAAATTCATTACTTTTCCCTCAGTTAAGCTGAAATGTGGAATTATGTTCAATTTGTGAGCTGAAGACTTCGATGATCTATGTTGTTATAGTTTTACAGACCGGTAGGTTTTGAATCCCCGACGTTATCTGACATAGGGTTAGCGTACCTATAGCCTTTGAAATAAGCGTAATTATAATATAGATAGGGGTCAAGAGAAATTGGGTATTTTATTTCTCATAAAAGAAAGTAAAATTGATGTGATATAGAACCAAGAAAAATGTTAAGCTCTGTACATACTATTAAGTTTCATGTGCTAAATTTACATGATGGTGTCATATGTGAAGATGATGATGTCATACCATTCCCATATATGGGTGAATCAAAAGTTTGTACATACAACGTGATATTGCAGTGTGAACAGAGCCATAGGATGCTTAACCGTTCAAATTATATTGAAGCATGATCTTCATAGGTCAACATACTTGCAAAGTTTTCGTGAGTTCACCAGCTTTTCTTTCTTCATGAGAACAAAGTTTGTTAATAAGGTTCCTGACTTATGACTGGTATTGGTTTGACAGCCCCTTGACAGTGTAATTTTAGTTACTGCTTCTCATCACTTTGCTATGTTGACAGCAGGTCTCAATAATAGACAAACCAAAAAAAGTTACGATAAATGAGACAATCACCCCACTAAACCCAACGGAAATTGCGCAGTAACAAAAAATGATTGCAGGTGAATTGCTCATCAAAGGTATGGCAGTGCAAAACCAATTGATTCAATTCATAAAATATTATTAGCTATACAGAATGTAATCACATATAAATAAATAATATAGCTCTAAAGATAAAAGACAAAACAAAAGAAGTTAGATAGACAATATCCCCGCCAACCCGACGGAATTGAGGTAACCAAAAATTATCTCCTCCTAACTTTCGCACCCCATCAGACCTTAACCACATATCAATATTCCTAGATTGGTTTGATTATTAAGCTAAGGCAGCGTAAAACTGAAAATTACTTTGATTTTGGATTGAATTTTCGAATAGTTAATCTTCGTTAACCCTAAAATGACTTAGTTTATTTAATCCTCAATCATTCCTTAATCAACATCTGTTAAAATTAGAATTATCGAGTTTTATCCAATTTATGGAAATTCAAGTTAAAATATACCATACTTTTAAAGCTGATTTAAATGTTTCATTAAATTCAAAATTTTTGTAGAAAAAATTATTATGTTTGGTATTTCTTGAAAGATAAATGTATTAGCTTCAAGATGGAAACGATTGCGCAGCCATAGTGATTGACCGTAAGTTGTGAGCATTAAGAAAAGAAGGTGCTCTCCATTTCGCCATGTTCAATTTTTCGGTAAACTAAGCCTACTGAGCATTTGGTGGCAGGGAACACATCGCACGAACGTCCTTCACGCGCTGCGGTAGCTTTGTCCTTGTCTCATTTGCATAGCACTGTGTGCGTGTAGCTTTTTCGAGTGACCTCAATGGTTAACAAGCATTTGTGATATTCCTCAATTATTACTCTCAATCCATCAAACTTAAATTCACAATCCAAATAATTTATGGATAAGATGCTTCAAAAACAAAAAAGATTCACTTGAATGACAAGGTATTTTTGTTTAATACTATATCTGTCTTCAATATAGAACTTAAGTCAGTTAAACTAACATTTGTGATGTTCTTCAACTCTCAATCGGTTAGACTTAATTCAAAATCCAAAGTTATTATATATGTAATCAAACATTTGCCATCAATCAATCAAACTCCCCCACTTGAGGCAAATAATGGTTAAAATGTTTCAAGAATGTAGCAACAATTTCCAAAAAAAGAAAATTGATCACTTACTGTAATGATTGCCAACAACTACATTTAAGCAGCAGAGACATGACGAGATAGTTCTTATTTGTCCGTTGAGATTTTGTTGTCATATTATAATAATTGACTATAGATTATTTAATATGTTTTGTTTAAGTTTAATCGTAAAGGTAAGACGATTGCATTTAAGAGGTTGTTATTTGGTTGTAGGATTTCCAAGTCCCTGGCAGTTTGCCGCATTTACTTTCCAAGTCTGACAAACAGAAATACTACTGTACAATAATCTGAAAAGGTCTTTCTAGTGTTGCTGTTTGCTAATGAACGAAATCTTTTAAAATTCTGAGTTTTTTTTTGCTTTTAACATACAGTAGTAAATCTACTCATCATACATTTTAAAAGTAAATATTCTAGCATTACATCATTTAATTAGCCAGAATCAATCAGTATTATTTTAAACTGTAATTATCCTTAGTATTCCATGAGGTTAAACATTTTTAAGGTACTATAATTGATGGTGTAATGAAAGTTCACATTAAAGCTATGGATGGTTTTATGTTGCTACACAACAATGCCCAAGTTATGTCGATGTCTCTTTGGTTACCAGTAATGCTTCACTTTGGTACGTGCATGCAACGCGTTTCTGGTCATCTGTACAACTCATCATTCATCAAGATTGGTTATACATGGTTTGATCTACTGTATGTCTATGAAAGTTTTAGACATTGTTGGATGCTTACATTACATTACACAGGTTAAAATTCATCTTTTCAGAGAGTTCAAGTTCAAGTTATTTGTCATCCGTAATGAAATACGATACATGAGCATACTGTAATGTCATATGCTGTAGATAGAATTTAAAAACAAAAAATATTGAGCACCAGATGAAGTTTTTTGAAGAAAAATTACATAGTTTCACACACAATCTAATAAAAATATAGCTCACAACATTTTATCTACTTGTTTACTCCTTGTGGGTTTTTTCATTTGATATGATTTCAAATTAGGCCCAAGTGAGAAAATGACACTTAAACTGCAGATGATTTTTGTGGCCAATTTGATGATCAGCTGGTTTTGATGAACAACTCTCCAAACATACTAATGCCACCTGTAAGCACTTTTCAACTGCAAGGAAACCGTGCCCATTATAAATTAATATTATTTAGTTATAGTAATTGGCAATCCAATAGCAACACAGGTATTAACACCTACACGGAAATTATAAGCAAACACCTTGACACTATCTGCCACTCTTATCCGAATTATTGTACCGAGTTTTATTTCGTGTTAATGTCTCATCCTGACTAAGAACAATTTTAGTGTAATTCCAAGCACTCACTGCATTGTAAGACTGTCGGCCAACAAAACCGCATTCCCTGTGAGCGTTAGATGGCGCGATGCCGCCTGCCGATTGCAGTCTGAACAGATTATCATTAAAACGATCAATTGCGCTTTGCTTGTATGTGTGCAAGCTATTTAATTGTTTTTTTTTTAGTTTTTAATATTTAAATTGTTCTCAATTTTCTTAATTCATACTTTTTTATATATATAAATGAGGGTTTATATAACACTGTATTTACCTCAAAAATAGTGTACTTCAGTGGCGGATTTAGAGGGGGCGTAAGGGTACACCACCCCTATTATTTTTAAAAGTAATTTTTGTAAAGCTTATCAGAATGTCACCATGCAAAATATTAAAGATCAATCAAATACAAACTCATATTAATTATGGTGTTAGAGGTGTAAGGGGGTTTTTACCACTCGCCCCTACCAGGGTCCATTACTTGGGACTTTTACTCAGTTC